TCTCTCTCTCTCTCTCTCTCTCTCTCTCTCTCTCTCTCTCTCTTACTTTTCTCGCGACGTTGAAATTCTGAATCGCGAATCTGAATTCGTAAAAGCGGTGCCGGCGACGGCGCCAAGGATGGATATTCCATTACGCGCGTCAATGTAGTTAGTATGCAATTAGATGTACGTTTAATGAGATTTCACTGTACATACAGATAGGTGTTAGATACTTCTCACGGATACCGACCGAGAAAAGAAATACTGACAATACGATTCGACGTAAATCATCGCGTCTTGATAAGTCGCGATTAGTATGGAAAAATGGAAATGCCGGTAATGTGTGAGTGACGGCATGTAGGCGTAATTAAAAGTAACCGAACGGCAAGTCACAGCGAATTGTTCTCTCTCTCTCTCTCTCTCTCTCTCTCTCTCTCTGTCTCTTTCTGTTATTCTTTTTTTTTTCCTTTTAGATCAAACTTCCTTACCAATGGCAGCCAAAGATCGTTTCGACCCAAGTCGCCGTAATCGGGAATGTTGTTGTCGCCGGTGTGCCCGGTGAATTCACGACAATGTCCGGAAGAAGATTGCGAGAAGCCATCAAGAAAGTCATGAACGATACGCTCAACAGCGAAACCTCCGTAATAGTCGCGGGACTCTGCAATACTTACAGTGATTACATAACTACGCCCGAGGAATATCAGGTATAAACTGCTGATCGTTCGCGCAAGTTCTCGAATGGGACAGTTCGCTCTGCCAAATCCTAATGGCGATCCTATAACGGCGCTCATAAAGATTTTCGATCATAATTGGAACTTAGAGACAGATTCTTTATTCCGACGCATAATAAAGCACCGATTCATCAACTTTCAGATACAGAGGTACGAGGGCGCATCGACGATATACGGCCCGCACACACTTACAATCTATTTGAAGCAGTATCAAGAGTTGATGCAAGCGGCCGTTCAAGTAAGCACCACAATATATACAAACTCGCTACGTGTGTGTTGAAAGGGAAATTTGAATAAATACCTCCGCGTCCCTTCCACGGAAAAAAAAAAAAAAAAGTATTTCTCTCGGCCGACACGATTAAAATGCTCGAGGCATTCCTCGATGCGTAATTAGAAGGAAGAAAAAAAAGAAAAACATACCGTAGGATAACCACGACGTTAATTAGTACTTTAACAATACGAAATGATTCGCATCGGAACAATGTACATGTAGCTATCATATCACAGAGAAAGGAGCTGCTACCAGGGCCACAACCACCGGAGCTTTTACATAGCAATCTGATTAGTCTTGTACCGCCTGTGCTGTACGACACCCCGAAATGGGGGCGCAACTTTGGCGATATCATCCAACAGTCGCGACAAGTCGTGTGGCCCGGTGAGACGATTACGGCGACCTTTGTAAGTACGAATCACGATTTGCATCGCGCTGCTCTTCGAGAAAGAAAACGAAGCGAAAATGTTGCTTCAGTAACTTCTTCCAAATAATCGAGAAGCAACAGAAACGTCAACGAGGTTCACGTGAATTGCGTCGAATCTAGCATTGCGTAAGATTATTACGTAGAAACATGGACGTAATTAAATGTCTCGGTTGGGACTGACTCGGTTGTGCAAACTACGCGCTGCGATTCCATTTACAGAATAACAACGTGCGAATTACTTTGCAAACCATTGAACAATGCACTGCCAAATGAACCGATTACTATGCGACCTAATACGCAACAGCTGTCTGTAAACACCGCAGTAATAAACCTTTAATACGACGCAACGCATCGCAAATCTTTTTGAAGTAACTATTATTGTCAATAACATCATTGTATAATTTCAAGTCGTTGCGCTGATAAAAAATTAAAAAAAATTGAAACAATCGCTATAACAATTTCATTATCAGTTGCATGCACGCGAGATATTATTAATTAATTCGTACTCTCGGCCAGAGTTTCCCAATAAACACACGCCTATTAATAAATTTACTTGCTAATGATTATTAATTACCAGTCGTATCTTTGCATCGTTATTCCGCATCGGAATGAATTGTTCATTGTAATCTCAGTAAAAAAGAATTTCCCTGAGGTATTCTTCCAACTTTGATGCTCAACTTATGCCGGACTGAGTCTTGGAATATTGGTCTTTCTCGATTCCAAAGACCTAGGTAATCTATCAGTCAAGTACCTTCTCTTCTTCTAGAAGAGTGAGCTTATTATTATGCGTGATACCTCGTCAAAAATTAGCGACAAAAGAAAACACTTTACACGACCATCTTTTGTTCGCTTCGTCTCATCTCATTCTTTATCCCTTACCTCAAGTTTACGGATTATACCATTGACGAACGTATCGTGCCAAGGGACACGTGTCGGTTACTTTGATTCCGTGAATTAATTCGGGTAGCTCTCAATATTGAATGCAAATTACTCAGTTGATTGCTGGTCCAACAAACAATACGAGCCGATATGGAATTCATTCAGAAATAATTACAGCGCACATCAGCATTTGTACACGATGACGCAGACATGCACGGGTAGTAAATTATTCGAATCAAGATACATTTAGCGAGAAACACGATATTTTCCAGGTAGCGCCTGCATTAATTTGACGAAAGGATAGGAGAACGATCAAGTCGAGTCGATCTTAGACGGGCGGAAATGGTTGTTTGAAGTTAATCGTGGCGCCGTTTTTATCGAATCACACGATAAAGAGACATACATGGTTTTCTCGCGCGCTCGCGTAAAGTTCGGAAAATGGATTGCCGTCAGCGACGTGGTGCGAGCGGATCGAATAATCGTAAATTACCCCTTGGCTATAATTTCCGGCGACTGATGCGCAACATGTATCGCGAAAGCAGATGCAAATGAATCATAGCTCGTGACTCACGAAGATTGCGATTTACTTGCGAGGTCAATTTGCAACTTTTCCCATCCTAGCCTCGACCTGTATCGGTCAAAAAATTCGTCTTGTGAAGATTGTTTCTGGCATCAAGTGCACGATGTGAGGATACGTTCCACTTTTCCACGTTCCATTCTACTCCAGGGAAAATGCGCATATTTTGCAATGGAAACGAAATACAAAAATCAATAAATACGCGCCTATCGATACGATAAATGGACTCGAGATAAATCGCGAGTTAAATCGTATACAGAAAGACATAGAAAAATAACGTGTCAATGATATCGCGAGGACAGATTACACGATAATACACGAACTGATTACACGAGTTATTACACGTTTCATCAATTACATCGCAGGTCGCCGGCCACCCCCGAAACAATCTCATGACGGACAATACGTTTTTGACCGTGGAGCGATTAGGAGACGACGAAGTTTGGATACCGATTGCCACGGACGCCGATTGGGAGACTAAGTATATATTGTTATATTGTGTAATATTATAAAAATTACTTTCCTCAACGTATAAAATAATAATCATCCCTTGCATATTATACTTTAATTCTTCAACGCAACAAGTTGTTATTGTGTGTTTAGATTTCAATGGACGAGAACTTCCGTAATATTGGGATCCAGTGAGGTGACCATTACGTGGGAAATACCGCAGGACATTACTCCGGGCGAATATCGCATCAGACATAATGGTTATTATCGCTACATCCTCGGTGGCGTATATCCCTACTACGGTACCAGCGATCCTTTCAGAGTGAGTGTATACACAAATAAATAAATACATTTATTCGCACCAATGAACATTCGAGCATTTAAACGCGAAGTTGTTGCGAATATTCAAGCAGATAGCTGCCAAATTCTTGCCGTTAGTTACGAATGTAGTAGCAGTGTAGCGTCAGGTTTGGAATAATCGTTGTTGTAACCAAAGCAGCCATTTTAATATATATATATATATACACACACACACACACGTATATATATCTTCTTCTCTGTTTAAAAAGAAACTTCACCTCTTTCGTCAACTGTTTAAATCGACACTTTTTTATAACCTTTTTCTCACGTTCTCATTGAAAATAGAATTCACCAAACTTTCGGCAATTTTTCGGTGCAATCTCTTGTACACATAACGTATCACTTACTTCAAACACCAATTTCTAGTCATCGTGAAATATTTAGATGTTATACATATATTCAGCAGCAATTATGTAAGATCAAATGTATAATTATCATTACGACGGTTACAGGTGGAAGTTCCTATACACAATATCCGTAGGCATCGTTACTATGGATAACCAGCTGGTGCCGCGCTTTCTTAGTCGACAAGGAAATCATTACGCTTAACCGACGCTCCACGGTATAATCGATGAGAAATACATAAGTGTTCCATATATCCTATTCCATCAAACAGCGGAAAGAAACATTCAACGCGTAAACATGAAATAATCCTGCTCCATCTTTTCGCGCTTATGTACAGGGTGTTGCATTCATATACACGTCAGTACGACGGGTTGCATATGCCTTTCGCTGACAGACCCACGAATGAACATTCCGCCAAGGCGAATTGAGATCGCGTACGTCGTACTTGTATGTAAGTGCAACACCCTATACCGTACAGCATCTATGGTAATGCGCAATAGCGTGTGTGCTCTTTTTCTCCTCAAATCAATATATTCCTCCGAATCTAATGACGTCACGTGACACTATCGAAATTGTAGGTGCAATGTACTTTTTCAAATAACGTACAACTTGCTCTAAGCTGAAATATAAAATTTGTTTCAAAACTTGGTTCAGAGAGTATCGCTGTCGTCAAAGTGCTGACTTTGTTTGGAAAATGGTTTATACACAATAAAGTTGAGAACTCGCCAAGCTATCAAAATTGAGAATCATTGCTCTGTGTAATAGTCAGTAATTATAGTGCTAATTATTATTAGTAATAGTAATTATCGTCATTTATTATCGTTTATTATTCTTAATATATATTCTTTGTTATATTATTAACGCGTAAGAGAATTCGAATGATTCTTAATTTTGACAGTTTAGTGAGCTCCCAACTTCATTGTGTATAAATCGTTTTGTTAGCCACTGTTCATATATACCTAGCTACATGCAACTCAGTCGATTAAGTGTAGCAACATTTCTCCGTGATAAATCCGTGTAACATCTATCCCAACATATTCTACAGGAAAATATATCTCCTGAGAATTACTAAAAAAGAAAACATTCTCCTATTGGTTACGCACGAGAAAGTATTGCAACCTTTCAATCAGCTGACTATACACTCAGTTGCATTGATGTTATACTATTCACCACATCAATAATCACTAGAAAGTTTTAACCAGCCGTGTCCGTTTCTAGCTGATTGTTTTTCATGACTGTTTGACAGCTTGACGTTTCATACATACATATTTTTATCAAAAGATTATCCGCTCATGTGTGAGAGTACAACTTCAAGCCGTTAATCACGGCATATATCAATACGATCCTCTTGAATCGTGTTTTGTTCTATTTGATCGTACATCGTGCACTAGTTTTATCATGTTTTATCTTTTTAATCTTTTGTAAATAATAAAAATAAATAATAATGCGAATACTCGTTCAAAAGTTGAAACTCTTATACTTTTGAAGGTAAAAGTCAATTAAACATAATATCTTTAGAGTTAATAATTTTCTTAAGCGTGGAAAGAAAGAATATGCATCTGATTGTGAAATTACGGAAATTACTGAATAGAGCTTCTATATCCAACCGCGCAAATACGCGCTAATTGGGTACTGTAGGTAGCGAAATCGCGGTTTAACGGAGTCTCCAATTACGATCGACGTAATTACCAAATTGAGAAATTTATAATCCACAGAAGGATATCGATAGCATATGTCCTCTTAATTGAGATGTGAGATATTTGCCGGTGAAACTACTTGGCTTTCAAATCGCATCAATAGATAATTTCAAGGAAATGCCATTTATTACTGATTGCTATTCCACGGTGAGTTTGAGAGATAGAGAGAGAGGGAGAGGGAGAAGAAGATGGAGAGGGAGGGAGAGAGGGGGGAGAGAGAGGGAGTGTGAGTGAGTGAGTGAGCCTGTGTGAGAGAATGAGAGAGAAATAAAAAATAAAATGTATCGTGTTTCCCCGATACAGTGAAATAAAAATATTTTCTTGGATATACTGTAATGCGCCATGCAAATGCCTGGAAGCGATATCACCGAGATAATTCTCTATCGCGCAAGACGTCGGTCATATATTACAGAGTTTTTACGCCATGTTCAAATATTCGATATTCCAATGTCTATCTCCATGTAAATAAAACATCATCGCGCGGATTCTATTATACGGAGAAATTATTATGAGAAATAATGAGCCGTAATAAGTTTTCGCATAATTGTAATCATTTAACGGAAACATAAACGCGGAAGCAGATATATAAATATTAAATTACAAATTCTATTTCATATATATATATATATATATATATATATATATATATATGTATGTATGTACATATGTATACACAACGTAATCCTCCAATCTATTTTCTTTTTTATTATAGGTTTAAGTCGAAGACGCGAAATCGCGCTTTTAATCCTAGAAAAATTAGTAGCTCAATAAGGAAAGCAATCCATACTTCGACACTTGCATCTATATTATATAAGTGATATTGTGAAGTGATACGCGAGAGAAATTCATCCTTTAAAGCATATGATTGTCGATTTATGAGCAAACGTTTGGTTGAATAAACGCTACAGTTCTCTCATTCGACTGTAACTTCATTCTGAGCCAACGCAGGCTGCTAGTATCGAGCCGATCTTGTAACACCTTATGCGAGAAGGTAGTTTTACAAAACTGATTAGTCGCTGATAAAATGAATATATTTATATATCACACTCGGATGCGTTTTGAACGGTGTGATACGAACCGAGAGAATGCTGTAAATTTTCAAAAATACGACGGTTGCAAAAGATTAGCAAACGCGGAAGTAATGCGTTTCATACTTTACGAATAATAAGAAATGTGATGTATCGAAAATATTCCATTAAGCGCGGCTTTAGGTCAAACCACGATCTTCCGAAATTCGACTAGAGATCCGTCTCTCCCTTCATCTACCCAGTTCATATTCATATTCCAGCTACATATTCTCCTTTCTCTCATCATATTCAATGCTTAAATATTATCCATTTATAACGTAATTGTTCGTCGCGTAAGGTAAATGTGAGATATCGTGTGATTCCAGGGTAAGATTTTGAAATATCTATTATACACTCCATCAAATAGACATCTGAATATATGTGACCGCGATTCGCTTAGAAATAATCAGTAGATTACGCGCTCAATTCTCAAAATGTACCAAGCTCGTAAGATACATCACGTGCGCCAGATGCAACCAACGATGCGACCAACGATGCGCTAAACGATGTCATTTCAGCACGCCAGTACGAGGGCTGTATGATAAGTACCCGTGTTTAACGACTGATGGCGTCACTGACTCAAAGTCTGTATACCATCGTTTAACGCCATCTTCCAAACTACGCCAGTTAAAATTTCAGACAGATTTATCGAGTAGTTTTGTTTTGATAACTGTTGAAAGTGGACAAGTTTGTGTTTGTTTGCAACCATAGAAAAAGAGCAATATTGGTCAGTGATTCGATTCCTTTTTTTGGATGGGAAGACGTGTGAGGAAATCAAAGTGAAGTTGCATGCCGTTTATAAGGACCATGCACCTTCGATGACTACCATCAGATATTGGTTCAATGAATTCAAGCGCGGCCGAACATCCGTTTTTGATGAAGAGCGCCCAGGTCGTCCGATTGAGGTGACTATGGAGGATATGAGTCAATAAAATCCATGATATCGTGTTAGCAGGCCGTTGGATGAAGATCAAAGAGATTGCTGACATTGTAAATATCTCAATTGAACGCGTACAAAATATCCTAAAAACGAAAAATTGAGCATGAGAAAGCTATCGCCAGAAACGAAAGAATAGTCAAAACAATGGACTTTACCCGGCGAACCTGCTCCAAAAAAGGCAAAAACGGTTCTATCGGCCAGAAAGATCATGGTCACCGTTTTTTGGGATTCGCGAGGCATTATTTTCGCCGACTATTTGGAGAAGGGAAGGACAATCACGGGGCAGTACTATGCTGATTTATTGGGCCGATTCGACGCTAAATTGAAGAGAAAACGGCCCTATTTGGCGAAGAAAAAAGTGCTCTTTCATCATGACAACGCACCAGCTCATTCGTCCGCAATCGCTACAGCAAAACTGATCAAATTACCCTACGAATTGCTGTTTCATCCACCCTATACTCCAGATTTGGGCCCCTGCGATTTCTATTTATTTCCAAACATGAAAAAAATGGCTCGGCGGAAAGCGGTTCACGTCAAACGAGGAAATCATCGCCGAAACAGAGGTCTATTTTGCGGAGTTCGACAAGTTATATTTTTTGGATGGTATAAAAACGTTGGAATATCGTTGAATTAAGTGTATCGAGCTGAAAGGAGAATAAGTTGAAAAATAAGTAAAAAAAAAATTTTTTTTAATGTGTTTCCTTCCCTAACACGGATACTTATCATACAGCCCTCGTATAGTGTAAACAGTGCGAAACAAGAATAACAGTCTCGGGACGCTCGCAATGTTTAAATGGTTAATTGAAGCAGAGAAAGACTTTCATAGGGCAATTGGTCGCATTCGCGATAAAAGGGAGCGAAGGGAGGATACAGTATGGACTGTAAGCGTGATGGAGAGCGTCGGTGACGACTCGAATGATCCGGCTCTTCAGCTCGCTTCGATAGCGTTATCGTTGTCGAAGAGCGCAGGTCGCGTCGCGATGTTATTATCAGAACGAGTTCCCATCGTGTAAAAAACGATAACCCTGTGCAAATTTTGTCACGAGAAAACGACGCTCGGTAATCCAATATTATCTGCAAATTAATCTACGAGGGTAAGTGTATCACATATTCGATTCAGCGGTAAGTATGCGCTTCGTTTAACGAACAACTTCAAACAGACTTTGTTTTCAACGAAGCGTCTCGCAATCCACGCTTTCGAAACTTTTCGAATGTAACTCGTAAAGCAAGCTCGACGAAATGGCTTACCAAATGAAACGAAGCTTTGGGTGTGCTTTTTAAGCGCTTTTCGTATATACAATAACGGAAATACACGCGATTGCGATTACACGAAGCGTCGCTTTCTTCTCATTATTAAATACAATTGCTCTGGCTGTATTCATATAACAGTATGCAAAAATTTACTCTCTGATGTGAATCGCAACGCCTTTCTTCTAAATGTCCACTGAAAGACCCATTATCTTAAATCTTTGTTCTTGACTCACCAAAATAGCGGGAGCTCAGGATCGGCCACGTTCTGCTACAATTCTGAAAAGAAAAGATGTAGCATCGTGCCGATTAGATTTGAGTCATAATTTAAAGAGAAAAATGCGGATTAACCTTTTGCGATAATTGCAAGTCGACAATTTTGACTTGGACAATCGTGTCTCAGTTTTCGATAGCAAAGGGTTAAACGCAAGAATATAGCAAGTTTATAAAACTTACCTTCGAGCCGATCCTGCTCGGCCCGAACCGGATCCTCCGGTTTGCACCCACCGCGTCCACCGTGTGGCCACAAGCTCTGTCATTCCTGAAACTAAATATTTTTTGGAATCATTTTTTGGTTGATTATATATATATATATATATATATATATATATATATATATATGTATATATAGGTAGGATACACACCTATGGGATTTTTCGGCCGTGAATGAACGTAGCCATAAAAAACGGATGTGTTTCGCGACACAAAAGTCGGTGAAAGTAAAATACGGCTTAGCTTGCGTTCGGTTACTCGTTCTCGTTACTCATCAGAATTATCGGGGAAAAAACGGCGATGCAAAAGGAGGAACCAACCCTGGGCGGAATTTTGCGG